GGTAAAGCGAATCGTTACCTATAATGAACTAAAATGACCCAATTCCCATAACACAGAAAATGAAATTTGTCGATCCATGCTTCAAACTGTGTATCAAACTGTGAATTGTTATCATTTTCGTGTAGTTCTTAATCTTACACTGTTTGACAAGCTTGCTTTTCCCATTCCTTCATATCAGTTCCTTTGTCATTTATCAATTACTGTGATAAATGGAAAGCACATTTACTCCTTGTACACTATAATGCGCCGTGAAGTCGCTGTATTTATATATCAATATGTCCATTGTCTATATCCACAATCAATTTTATTGAGGGCTGAAATAATTGGAGTGTTCAAGTAAAACTAAATTCAAATGTTCAGAGTTATGGTTAGAGTTATGGTTTATAAGGTTATGGTTATCTCCGATTCTTCGGGTTTGTGTTTATGTTTTCGATTGGGTTGAGGGTTTATATAAAACCGTTTTATTATCAACCGCTTTTTTATTTTATTTCATTTTTATTTAAAATACCCAATCAATTTCTCAGGACAAACAATCAAAATCAAATGTCGTAACGCGATTTATTTAATTTCATTTTAAATTGTTGGCACTGAGTTTACTGTTTTATTAGAAATTTCTTTGAAAGAATAATCAGCAGTTAGAATTATAGTACGTTTTTTTCATCAAGTAGATCAGAGCAGTTGGAATTTGTGTTACCTGGGTGTCTTCCACGAACAGTTTATGGTGTACTTAAGAATGACTTAAGTACAAATTTAAGTACAACCCAATTCGTTTGTCGTCCACGAACTGAGTCTTAAGTACACATTTTTACTTAAGTCGCATGATTTAAGTTCCTACTTAAATATTTAAGTACGACTTTGGGAGTTAAACTTAGCGTGCACTTAAAGTTGCGTTAGCCTCCATATATGGTGCGTGTTGGAAGCGTAATTGTAATCGATACTTACTTAAGGGCCGGGGGGGTTCACCCTGATTTTTTTGTGAAACTTGTTTTCGAGATAGCAGTTGACCAACAGACTAAGACCGGTGACCGAACTTTTGAGGGGGTCCCGGACCCCAACCGCCATACGGTGCCCGCGGGGCAGCCACGCCCATATTTGGTCCAAATTAGGCCCAATTTAGCCAAATAGCCTGAACATGCCCAAGAGGTGAAAAAAGAAAAGTTGGGATTTTCGCCTACCACCAAATTTGTACATTTTACCACTCGCCCAGGTCATCAGATATCGCTTCAAAAATTCTTGTGAGTCTAGCTGATGATCATATCCAACTTTATGGAACAGAATTTCTATCAATTCTGAGTTTTAAGGTATGAAATGTGGCCTCAAACGACTTAGTAAAATTCATCGTAAAAAGGGCCAAAAATGGCAGAATTAAGGCTTAAAATGCTTATTACTCAAAAAGTATCAGTTTTTTTGAAATACTTTTTACAGAATCGTAATCAGCTTGATCAGACGAATCTTTTAGTACCAAATGAACTATGTTGTTGAGTGCCATAATTTCGGTGACTTTTCCGCCAAGTGACCCTTGAAAACATCATGTACTAGCAGAGTTATATTTTTTTAAAAGAATATTTTAATGGTGTACAGTGTAATTAATATAGTTCAAAAATGTCTCTATTGCCAAATTGCTTCCAGGCGTTTTGCACGAGCAAAATGTTCAAAAATGTTTGCCTTGATCGGCAAACTTTAACTGTACGGTACTACTATAAGTATAGTTTTATAAATTTCAATACTATAGTATTGAAATTTATAAAACCTTTGAAAGTCTGACTGTGGCGCACAAAAAAGCATTCCTACACCCCTGAATTATCTGCTATTACATGTGAACATTGCGAGGTATCTAGGGGTGGGACAGGAGGAATTATTTTAGTTTTACGGGAAATTGAATAAAAATTGAATCAAGTAATCAAGCTTTCTTGGAAACGCGTAGCTCCAGTATAGACATGGGTTTAAGTATAAGTATAACTTACAAGTCATTATCAGGGTACCAACTACCACATCTTACTGCAGGCGGCGCTCAGCCTGTCATTGATCCGCCTGTCATTCCGCGCTCAGCCTGTCATTCCGCCGAATCTCTATATGTTTATGAACATAATAGCCTGGGGTCCCCGACTCCCCAGGTAACCACATCACGATTGAGAAATTTAATTATATCTCCCCACGAATTTTACCTGGTGACCTCGAGGCTTCTCTGTTCATAAACAAATTAAATATATATTGGAATAACAATTGATAGGCCGAGCGCCGCCCAGTAACAAGAATTTTGATAGTATTAATTTGTTTATAATTATATGCTCTCTCGTACCACAATTAGAAAGTCTATTATTTTACTCTTAGTTCCCAAAAATTATTTCGACAAAAATTTTGGCGGCCCTCTCGTAAATTAATGGCACATATAAATGTTTGCATTGCATTGACACTTTTATTTGTCACTGACACTATACAATATACATGTAGTTAAACTTAAATTATTTCATGTTCAATTCCATTGGAAATAGTTTTCAACCAAATCCCAAAATTGGGTAATAATATAAAGTGCATGGAACGTAACAAAAGTTTCCTTTTTCCAAATAAAAGGAAATGATATCAAATTAAATTACCGTTTCTGTACTAAACGCGAAATGTTGCCGAGAATGAAATCGGCCGTGAATGAATCAGAATAAGAAAAGCGAACGACCAATATAAACTGAAGTGTTTTTCTTTAGTAGTGGAACAGCAATACTAAGGTAAATGGTCCGCAGCAGTCCCATTACCTTAGTATTGCTGTTCCACTACTAAAGAAATAATCCCGATAACACTCAACCTCTGCCTGATCCAGAGGATATCACCATTTTACCTTCACACAGACATCGAACACTGTAAGAAGATGACGATCAGACCTCATTATTGAAGTGTTTTTCACATTATCTGGCATCCTGAGGATAGAAATAGCCGCAGAGATATATGTTTATCTTAGAAACATAGTATGTCCGCAGGCTGGGTTATCGTCAAGGGAAGCATTACTTTACCGTAGATGTTTACTTAACGGCTAAGAAAGATTCGTAGATTCCTCTACTAGGTTAACTTCCGGTTACCTGATTAAGATTTGCATACCATTGTCGTGACCCTCATACCATCATTTCGTGACCCCATACCATTGTCGGTCCACTTAGTCACTAAGTTCTCAGGACAAACAATCAAAATCAAATGGATCGTAACGCGATTTATTTAGTTTCATTTTAAATTGTTGGCACTGAGTTTACTGTTTTATTAGAAATTTCTTTGAAAGAATCATCAGCAGTTGGAATTATAGTACGTTTTTTTTTCATCAAGTAGATCAGAGCAGTTGGAATTTGTGTTACGTACCTGGAAAGTTGACAGTTAGAATACCACTCTGTAGGACTAGGACTGTATATCTGCAGACTGGTAACCTAATGGTACAGGTAATAAACACATACCTTTGCTGTGACTCAAGGCAAATCACATACGATCTTTTGATTGTGGAATTCGATTAAAAGGTCCTTTGAGATCCGTGCACCTCTTAATAAAATAATATTGCTTCTGCGGAACAAGTAGAGAGCAGTTGGAATTTTTGTTACCTGGACAGTGGACAATTAGATTACCACTCTGTAGGACTAGGACTATATATCAGTTTGAGTTAATGGATCACGCGTTGCAAGGAACGTAGCCATTTATAAAACTGGCTACGTTGCAGGGTAAAATAGATTTTGTATAATTTAGCATGCCTCCTGTATTGCGGGCCATATTACATGTTTCAAGTAATGCTTTAAATTCTCTCTGTTTATAAATTTTACCAAAACCCATAATCATGGGTATTGGATAGGGTGGACCGCTGCCAGTGTCTCTCTTTCCCAAACAAAAGGAAACGATATTAATTTGAATAACCGTCCGCAAATGCAAAATGATACCGAGAATGAAATCGGTCGCTCGCTTTTCCCATTTATTCACGACTTACGAATTGTAATAAGTTTCAATTAATTATATCAATCACATGCTGCAAAAAAACTCTTTGGGTTGCCTTCGCGTCGATACCTAGTATTTCGGGATAAGGTTGGTAATTAGTGTCCAATTAGCTGATGTTTATTGAATCTTTATTGCCGAGTACGGCTACCCCTATTACAATTGACACCATTTGGGTGTCCAAATTTCGGGACCTAAAGTTTTTATTCCGTGGCCAAGTTTTTATTTCTTCATACTTATAATAAGGCCATAAAAGCATTTGACCCAGTTTCCATTGTATATCTCTTAACGGTTTTTGCGAAAAGTCGTGTTAAAGTTGATGCCGTGGTGTCAGTAAAATGGCAACAGATACACTTAGTATATCGTCTCGCTTTACATATACACTTACAGTAAGATAATCAGTAGTAAGATAATCAATTGAATTTTAAAATACAAATTAGATTTTAATCAATACTAATGCAAATCAAAAGATAAACGGAGGTATTAAGTCGTATTCATAGAAAGTTGGAAAATTTTGGTATTTTGGAATTTCGATATTTTGAATTCCAAAATTTTAAAATTGATATTCACTATCTTTTAGCAATTACTAGACAGTCTCTAATTTTGAAATATCTCCGACTGTAAAGGTCACAGAAGGATCCAGTTATAGCATTAGCTAGGATTTTTATTGTTGTTTATGTTATCTCTGTGACTCATTATACTGTGTTTACAATATACTTGTTAAGCCCTACTCTTGGGAAAGGAGACGGCCGCGGTATATCGGGGTTTGTGGTGAATCGGATTTTTATTGTAGTTTTATTTTGTATCATTAATTTAGTTATATTCTCTCAAAACAACTTATTCAAGTAGCTGTAGATCAGTCCTGACAAATGATGACAGAGTTTACAAAAGCTTTGTTTTTTCTTGCGGTCATCAGTCTGTCAGTCAGTCAGTCAACAACTATAGCACCGTTCGAGGGGGAGTTAGAACTTAAAGTAGACATGTTGGCCAGAAGTGACGAGTATGAGTGTGATGACTGTGAACTGGTGCTGGACAGGCTAATCCATACCAAGATCACGTTGATACCCGGTGACGAATTTGCGGTCGCTGCATACCTCACTATGAACACATTGCACTGTTTTGAAAAATTCAGAATACACCCTACGGGGGATCCTGGACGCTACGAAGAATTCCACTGCACAAATTCTGGTTGTGAATGCCCGGATAAACCCTGTGATGAAACCATAACGATGGTAGTATCTGATTTGCAAGACCATAATCCAGATGAGTACCAAGAGTGCAAGGGGATGCTAGGGACCAATGCGGAGTTCAAAGTTAGAGATGTAGTAGAATATGACATATACGAACTGGCAGTCGCTGGTCATGTTGCAGGTACGTGGGCACACTTTGTTCCATGGTAGGGAGGGTTAAACTGTGGCAAGCTGATTGATTTATCATTGTCATTTGTCACGTTTTTAAATTCAAAGCATATTAGTCCCACCTCCCAATTACATATCATTATTTATCCATCCCTCCACATTTTAAACATTTAATATTTAACCTAGTAAAATTATAATGATTAATAAATCACATGCTCAGAAATTGCGGAGGGTCAAGAAAACGGCGGAGAGGATCAAGAAAACGGCGGAGAGGGTCAGTACTCACTCGCAGTATGTCATTCCATCAATGTTGTCCTCTCGGTGACTAGTCTCCTGATTGCCTTCTTCTTGCAGATGTAGTAGAATATTGGATGTGCGAACTGGTAGTCGTTGGTTATGTTTCAGGTACGTGGGCACACTTTGTACCATGGTAGGGAGGGTTAAACTGTGGCATGCTGATTGATTTATCATTGTCACGTTTTAAAATTCAAGGCATATTATAGTCCCACCTCCCAATTACATATCATTATTTATCCATCCCTCCACATTCTAAATATCTAATATTTAACCTAGTCAAATTATATTGATTAATAAATCACATGCTCAGAAATTGCGGAGGATCAAGAAAACGGCGGAGAGGGTCAGTACTCACTCGCAGTATGCATCACTCCATCAATGCTGTCCTCTCGGTGACTAGTCTCCTGATTGCATTCTTCTTTTAGGATAATAGCAAATAGGTTGTGCGGAAAATGACATTGATGTGTAATATATGGTTCACGGAAAGACAGTTTTTAGTTTAAGGGGGAATTTTTAGGTATTTCTTGTCAATTTTGTTGTAGTAAAATTAAAACTTGTTTAATATATAAGGGTGTGTTCAGTCCGCATTTGGGGCTTACTTAATAATTGGTAAACATGTGCATGGTATTTTGAAGTCGGGCGATGCAGCCCTGAGATTTTTTAGTCGCATATTTGGCGCTTACTTATATTACTAACAATTAGCAAATATGTGCATGAATTTTTGAAAAATTCTTGTTAGCGTAGTTTTATATTCTCATCAAAAGCGTATTTTAAAATTGTTTGCAACGGATCCCTATTCCAATTAGCAACCAAACCAAACCTAAACCATACCTAAACCACACCTATACCTATCTCTAGATCAATCGGCCAACTCTCCCAGCTTCAGTATCGCTCTCAACACACCACTCCATTTCACACCTACTTGAACTCTTTAAAACCTTCACACTTCTCACATTCATTTCTGTCTTAGGGTGTTCATTCTTCCGGGCTATACGTTCTAACATTTACGAACCGGTAAAACCGCACAGCTGTACTTTTTCTTTCAACACTATTTACTTTTTCAACACCATTTACTACACAGCACTATTTATCTCATAACTGTTTATTATTATTAACCCTTTTAACCTTCTTTTTCTTTTTTTTTCTCAAGGCAGGAATATAGGGTAGTAGTTGTACGAGGCTAATACAGAAAACACACAAAGCTTACAGCTTTCGGGCGAAGTATTAGCTAGGTCACGTTAATAGGTCACGTAATAACTATTTAATATATAATATATCATACAGGAACTCACAACGTCACGTTATTTTGCGATCTTACTATTTTATTTTATTCCATATCAAAATCATCTAGCTCACGTCACACTATCATCTATTAATACTTTAAAAGCTGACACTAAACATGGTGCTAACATATAGTAAGACGTTCAAATGTGATAAATGCTCAGTACGAATTCCCAAATCTCGACAGAATCTAATATGCGACATGTGTAGGCAAGTTAAGCACTACAAGTGTAGCTACCTTAGCAAAAATGACGTTGAAAACATAATAAAAACTCCAGGATATAGATGGTCTTGTTTTGAGTGTATATCGGGAGTGCTCCCTATCGGCAATGATGCATCTAGTAATACTTCAGGTTCCAGGAACTCATCATCTCACACAAAATACAAAGTTAGGTGCCATGCCTGCAGTATAGTAGCATGTCGTATAAGGCGAATAATCTCAACGAATGTCCCTGGTACAACAATTTGTGCCATAGAAAGTGTTTTAATGGTAGCCTCTACTCGGTTGTCTTCAATGCTGCGCTAAAATGATCCCCGGCTTTGGATTTTATGCTTACGAAGTACGAACTACTGAATGTTACTACTGTTAATTTACAGCCCAAAATTTTCAATCCATACGACCGTAACAAACTGATAAATAATATAGGGGAACAGATTAGGAGTTCCGAGGAAAACAGTGAACTTTGGGATGAACTATCGGATAAACTAATTAGGTGCACATACCAATTTCCTAAACAGATCCTGTGGCCTGGTGATGACGAGCTTGGAATCCTTTCCTTGAATATTCGCTCTATTCACAAAAATTTAGATCAAATTATCGACGACATTACCAGTTATGCGAAGTATGACGTTATCAGCCTTAATGAAACCTATTGCAACATAACTAAACTCGCTAACGGTCTGGATGATTTAATTATTGATGGTTTTCATCCCCCAATCTACCAAGCCCCAATCAGAAAATCTTGCAAAGGAGGAGGCCTACTTACATATGTCAACAAACGGGTATGTAGCTCCTCAGATGATATCGAAAACTTAACTATGGATCAAGACCCGAGTTTGTATATGGCGAATTCCTGATCACTAAGATCCGATCATGTAAAAAGCTAAATAACACAGTTTTGTTAGTCAGTGTTTACAGATCACCGTCCAGCAATTCTTCTAAGTTTATCGAAAGTTTCGACGAGATCCTATCAAAATTAAGATCTCACGGGAGAAAACAGACTATTCTAGCGGGTGACTTTAACATTGATTTAATAAAGCACGAATGTGACGAAAAATCCCAAAATCTTATTGACATTGCCGCTTCCTAGTTCCTACGGTTTCACACAGGTTATATCCCGACCTACCCGCATAACTGACCACCTAGTGCCACCCTGATTGATCATGTTTATACCAACAAAGTTGAAAAAATTATAAGCGTATTGGCACTCGACTTATCTGATCATTTGGGTACATATGTACGCCTAACGCCTTTCCCTCGCTCCATCTTTCGACCGAGCTGCACGACCTTCTGGACCCAAGCTTGGTAAATGTACTCAGACCTATGAAAAACATGAATATAGGATGTTTAATGAGGCTAATAACGAAACATTTAAAAGGTTGATACATGATGAATTGCATGGGAGCTTGATGGTTTATGTGCAGAAACGCGTTACGAAAAATTTTGTGAAATTTACACTGACCATTACAACACCGCCTATCCCCTTAACACTAAACGAACTCGCAGAAATCATGAAAGGGTTGACCCAAAGCCCTGGATCATACCATGACTTGAGGACTCCTTTAATCGTAAAAATATACTTTACTTAGATTATGTCAAAGAACCCACTATTCAGAATAAAACTAAGTATGATAAGATGAAAAAGTTCTGCGAAAAGCACAAGAATAATGCAAAAGGCAGGTATTACAAAAAGTATTTCGATGAGCACAGCGATATAAACTCTCGCAAGCAGTGGCAGATGATCAACAGTGTTCTTAATAGAACCAAAAAGAATACTGGGATCAATAAACTCGTAGATGAAAACGGCAACGTAGCTTCTAACTCGTCAGAAATAGCAGAGAAATTCAACGATTACTTTTCCAATATCGCGAGTGATCTCAAGGCGAAAATTGAAACTCGTGATGACGATAGAAGCTACGAGGCCTTCTTAAACGACCCCGTCCCCCTCTCTATTTTTATTAGACCAGCTAGTAACTCGGAAATTTATGATATTGTCAAAAAGTTAAAAAACAAAAGTACCAAAGATACTAAAATCTTTGCACTCAAACTAGCAACTGAAGATGTTAAATTTGTTAATGCACTTACTGGAACAATCTCACAGTCGCTAGAAGAGGGAGTGTTTTTCCACAGGCACTTAAACTTGCTAGAATTGTTCCTATACACAAAAACGGCTCAAAATCAACCGTCTCTAATTATCGTCCAATCTCATTACTGGCAGCATTTTCCAAAATTTACGAAAAAGTTATGCACGCTAGACTTGTAGAATTCTTGAATCAAAATTCAAGTTTATACGAACGACAGTATGGATTAACTTTAAGGGCCGGTAGATCTTGTGAACATGCACTTTTGGATGCTCAACACACCCTTATTAACTCAATGCATAAAAAGCAAATTTCTCTTCTCCTCCTCATCGACTTTTCTAAGGCCTTCGATATGGTACTAGATCACGATATATTTCTAAACAAGCTTAATCATTACGGTATAAGAGGTATCGCTAATAAATGGTTTAAGTCATACCTTACAAATAGAAAACAATATGTTAGTATTAATGGTATTGACTCCTCGTGCAGGGATATGAAGTATGGAGTACCGCAAGGCAGCATCCTAGGTCCTCTACTCTTTGTCCTATACATTAATGACTTACCTGGCATGGCATAAGCACACTGGCAAAGTTCATTTTATAAATATATGCAGATGATGCCAATATTATCATATCCGGTAACAACGTATATGAGATTGAAGATCAACTAAATGTGCTGTCCCAATCTTTGGTAAAATGGGTTGATGTCAATGGATTACTTATTAATCTCAAAAAAACTAATTATATGATATTTTCCCGACAAAAGGTACCTAATCTTTCCCCAATTATCATAAACAACGTGAATATTCTGCGCTTGAGCGAAGCTAAGTTCTTAGGTGTGATTCTTGATGAAAAATTAAGTTGGTCATCTCATTTATCAAATTAAAAGCTTTAAAGTGTAAAATGGCCCGTTATGTTGGTATACTGTACAAAATTAAATCATACATTCCCTTAGAAGTTAGAATTCAAATCTACCACAGTTTTATTCAGTCACACCTAAACTATTGCTCCTTGGTCTGGGGCTTCACGTCCAAAACCGAAATTGAATGCTTATTCCGTCAACAAAAGAAAGGTATTACTATTAGAGCTGCAATGCCAGGATTTGTGAATTATTTTTATAAAGATAATACACTTCCTACTGGCACCAAATCTTTTTTCAGCAGCCATTCTATCTTAACCATACACAGCATAACCTTATCTAATTCACTCATTTTCATGAATAAAATTTTCTATTTCCCTAATCAGCTCCCTCCGCCCGTCGCAAACTATTCTCGAAACTCAGAAGTTATCACTGAGGCTAACTATGAATGGTTCAATGACTGCAATACTGCCACACATAGGAATTCAATATTCTTCAACGGCCCACTCCTATTTGTAGACGCATCATTAGACGAAGTTTTCAATTCAGTGTCATGCCAATCGCTGAAGGCTTTCAAATCACAATGCAAGAGAACAGTACTGAAGCTGCAGAAGGGGGTGATAATGTAAATGAGTGGTCCACGAGTAAATTCCTCATCCACGAAATCAGCGGCCTCCGTAGGTCCAGTAGAAATAAAAATTCGTAATTGGTTTTGCTGCTAATTGGGGGTAATTCCAGCGTCCAGATTTGAGTTTCTAATTTGTTTTTAAATTCCTATCAGTGAAATTAATTTGAAACCAAAACCCATTCTAAATGTGATTTGTGAACAAAACTTTTGCTTGAATTTTATTTAATTACATTTTTTTTCAATTTGCGGCGTGCCAATAAAATAACGACTTCGTATTCGCATTTATTGCAGTTTGTTACGATTTATTTCATTTGACCTCACTTTCTATTTAGTTTTGATATATTTTCTAATAGGTATGTTTTTTCAGGAGTGCCCACTGGGGTTTTATTATGATTATGATGTAGTTAATAAATTTTAATTAGTCCATTAGAGACAATCCCCTCACGAGGGGCTTTCAATCAATTCAATCATTGCATGACAGTATAATACTAAATGTCATATTTAAAAAAATTGGTATTCATGTATACCAACTGTAAGTTACAGTTACACATATATTTTATATTAAAATTAGCATTAGCAATAGCTATACTAATTGGGAATACCTTAAGAACGACAAATTTAGTCTACC